ATTGAAAGGTAAGAAGTACAGGGCACATTATCAAAGTGAGTATGGTGCATTCCTCTGATGTTAGTAAATGTGTCCAGTCCAAAAGCCAGCGGCTGATTCTGCATTTCTGCCTTGGAGAGGTAAGAGCTGTGGGCAGACACCATCCTAGAAATGTGATTTGTGAACTGTTGTAGGTGTGAGCATCTTTCAAAGGGCTGTTTTGTATATTCAAATCCCAGGGATACGCTTTGGTTCTCCTGATTTTACGCTAATGACTTGTCCTTAATTCTGACTTCATTTTATATTTCAGTACCTGTGGGTAACATCTTTTTGTATTAGTTCATAATTATTTATTGGGCATGATATTTAAAAATTGTTTCTCTGGATTTTCTAAATACAGGTATTGAGCATGTTTGACTTTTGAAAAACTAGTATCAAAATCATGTTCTGAGATGAAGTTGGTAGAACTTTTCTGAAAAGAAAGGAAAAGTTTCCCAAGACATCATACATTTGGATGATGTTCAAGAAGAAAAAGCTGATTAGAAATTATGGTGATTAAGAGAGATGCGGGGCTCGGTCACATCAGACTGAGTCAGTTTCTCCGGTGCACCGTCCCCTGACTTGCGGTTGCACTCGCTAGGCTGAGGGACATCGCGTCGGTCTTCCTTGACTGAGTAGTACTTAAGAGAAACCAAATGTCACTTCAGCCCTTTTGCATAATTGAGTCTTTTATTATGTCAGAGAAGGGACAGGAGGTGTCGCTTGTCGAGGAAGGGACTCTAATGTTGAAGTAAATGTCAGTGTGGTTTAGTGGGGGAGGAGGAGTTGGCGGGGAAGCTGCCATTTAGCTCACATTTGAGAGGTCTGGGGGGAGCAGCTCATGGAGTGGGGGGTGGGCCATGGGCAGTGCCACCTCCAGTTCCCTCTGGGCTGATTTTCCCTGGTCCTCAGGCTACCTTGCTTTCATCCCCAGGCAGCCACCGACTCCCGGACGTGCTGTCAGCCCCCTGCCTCTATGGGGCAGGTAGCAGTTCTATCCATCTTCGACTGGCAACTGGTGGGGAGATCAGAAATCGGATGAGTCCCTGGGTTTAAAGAAAGCTGGGACTCTGCTGGGTGCAAGAGCAGGGTGACACCCCTTTCCAACTCCATAAAGACCGGCTCTCTTGGCAGCCCCCAGCCCAGGTAGAGCCCAGCTCTCGGCAGAAACCTGTGTTCTCAGAGGCTGTCTGGGCCAGAGGCTGCCCTCCCGGCAAGACTCCGGGGGCTTGCGTCTGCGCTGCAAGGCTGGACAGAGCTGGCAGGGCCCCGAGTGGCCTCGGCTCAACATGACTATGGAATAATGGTCTTTCCCTGTGGCTCATTATTTAACAATGACAACATCCGTTTATGTGAAATAACTAAAGATTGATTGGTAAAATCTTTTCAGAGTTATGCCAAGAAGTTAACAGTGATGCCTTTAGGAGCACAGACACCTGAGCCCAGGGCAAGGGGAATTTTGTTTTCAGCCAAGAAGCTTCCGTTGTTGGTGCAGTGCAGGGACGTCCTCACCCAGCTTGTCCGCTGTCTCACTTCTAGTCCCTCCCGGGTGCTATTTCCTGGCGTCTTTTTACCTCAAAGGAGGAAGTAGGGAAGCCTGTGCTCTTGGGAGGCTGAGGTCGTGTCCCCAGGCTCCTGGACTCACCGTGCAGCAGGCACCAGTGCCTGGAGCACCTTCTGTCTAGAACGTCACTAGCCGGATCGACTTTTGAGAAAGGATAGCAAGGCAACCCCACGGCCTGAAGCAGAGAGGCCACACGGTCACTTGGCAGGTGCCCGGCCCAGGCTGCCCCCGCAGCCCCAGAACAGCATGTCTGTGCATGTTCGTGTCCTTGTCTTGCATATCTGTACCTTCTTCTCAAATTAAGGGTTGGTGGTGGTGGGAACCACGACCAGACATGGCTGGGCTGGAGAACCTACTCAGGCGGGAAGAAAGGCGGGAGGGAGGTCTCCACACACTCCTCCTGAAGTCCTTATAAGCCCTAGTTCCTCATGCAGCTGCCAGGTGGATGGGCCTGGGCCACTCAGTCCTGCCCAGGTCAGGCCCTTCCCAGATACAAAACCCCAGAAAAGGTGGGGAGGGACTAGGAGAGGGAGAGAAGACGGCAAAGGGCACTGGGCGCAGCCCTTTCATTCCGAGAGCTCAGCCCCGTGTGTGGCTCTGTCCACCCCCCAGGATGCTCCCGGAACAGGGCACTCAGGGATGAAAGATGGATGGAGACAGGGATCCCGGGAGAGCCTCTGTGGAGTGGGGGACTGGGAGGGATGCATTCCCTCCCCACCAGCCAGCTGATTTTGAAGCTTGGGGTCCTGCTATTTGCAGGATGAGTGTGGGAATCCTTTCGTATGACAAAGCAACAACCTCAGTGTTCGTTCAGTGAAACCCAGGTCTTCAGATATTGCGGCTGCTTGGTGAGGATGTACTGAACCAGACTTAAATAACTCTGATGCACTAACTATATCCTCTGGGATATGGGGACAGTTAGAGAGAAAAGGGAATATGGCAGGTATCCAGAAATTATAAAGTGTGATTAAAGGAGGGGAACACATGCATATTACTTAGAATGGGCATAAAATGGTACATAAAATCAATTCTGCGTGTTACAGCTGGCTCTGTCTAGTGGAAGCCAACCGTAACGAGTGGATGGGTGGATTTCTCTGGGGGAACTGCGTTTATTTACCAGCTACCCACTCTGGTGCAACTCCATGCATTTCCCCAGGGCTCAGGAGCTGGGCTCTTTGTGGCCTGGATATAAATGGGTGGCGTGTTAGTTGCCATCGCTCGGCCTCCTCCTGGGTGTAATCTCTTACCAAGTCCTAATTAGCTCCACTCCTTGCTGGGAATTGGGAGCTGTTTCCTCACACTTTGGGGCATTCCAGGATGCTGTGCTAGCTGCTCCCAGCATGGGGATGCACCTTGGGCGTCTCTGCATCTGAGAACCAGGGACCTAGAGTCAGTGCATCCCTAGGCACTGCACTTACAACAAACGCTGGCCTAGGATCTGGGGAAAATTTGGCTGAATAAATATAAGTCCCCAAATGTAAAGCTCTTGCTTAAGTTAACAGCAAAGCTGGAGGCCAGCTGGGAAAATCCCTCAGAAAGTCGATGAGAAAATGATGAGGCCGAGTGGATAGGGCCGCCTGGAGCATTCCACCAGGACTCTGGAACACAGGTTTCTAGGGTCTCAGTGCATTTGATTCTCTAGGGAATGAGCACATGGAGCTTAGGGTGAGTGGCCCAGCAGAGGAGCAAGGGAATCCAGCTTCCTCACACTGCCCTGGCCTTTGGTGAATGTGCTTTGGTTTTCTGTGGAAAGTAGGACATCCGGGGAAATTCAGGTGGGTCCTGCTGCCCTGACTGGAGATGAGTCTAAGCCAGGCAGCCCTGTCCTTTTCTCCCTCTGCTAGAAGAGGCCATACGCCTAGCACCTCATACACCACTCAGCCTAGTGTCTGGGAGGCTTCAGTGGGACTCTCAACTCTGCTGCACCTCTTCCCAGGCCTACTGACACTGATGCCTGCCCAGGACCCCTTAATGAATTCACCCGCCCATACCCACTGATATGGTTTGGCTCTCTGTCCCCTCCCAAATCTCACCTCGAATTGTAATCTCCGTAATCCCCATGTATCAAGGGCAGGAGCAGGTGGAGGTAATTGAATCACGGGGGCAGTTTCCCCCATGCTGTTCTCATGATAGCGAGTGAGTTCTCTTGAGATCTGATGGTTTTATAAGCATCTGACATTTTCTTTGCTGGCATTCATTCTCTCTCCTGCCACCCTGTGAAGAGGTGCCTTCTGCCATGATTGTAAGTTTCCTGAGGCCTCCCCAGCCATGTGGAACTGTGAATCAATCAAACCTCTTTTCATTATAAATTACCCAGTCTCAGGTATTTCCTTATAGCATTGTGAGAATGGACTAATACAGTAAATTCTTACCAGGAATGGGGTGCTGCTATAAGGATACCTGAAAATGTGGAAGCAACTTTGGAAATGGGTAACAGAAGAGGTTGGAACAGTTTGGAGGGCCCAGAGAGGGGAGGAAGCTGAGGCCCAGAGAGGGGAGGAAGCTTGCCCCAGGGGAACCTCCCGGGGAGTCCACACCTAGACCAGACCTTGGTGCCAGCACAGGCCTCAATCTCTACAGCACCCTGATACCACTTAGGGGATAAACCCAGAGCCCAAGCCGGCCTTGCTGGCCTTTATCTCTTGGGGACAGTACGGGGCCAGAGTGTCAGAGCGCAGAATCTTCCATGTACCTCCATGCCGCAGGCTCCGGGCCCCACATTCTTTAGGGAGGGACTTTTCTCCTTTCCTTCCCTCTCATTATTTTTCTTCCTTTCATTTTTTTTCTTTTTAATCTTTTCTGATAACCTTTCACAGATAAGGGGTTTAAAAATGGCACATGATTCCTTTTAGATATCTTCAATTTCCATCTATGAAAATACAAATCTTCATTATTTGCTCATCCACAAATGAGCAGGACACCGGGGCTGTGGTTGCTAATATAAGCAGCCCTTTTAATTCTGCCACTGTGGGAGGGTAATGAGCTGTGGCCGTGCGCATTGCTTGACGGCCATGCAGAGCTCGACCGGGGAAGTGTAGGGAGCCACTCTCCAAATTACTCCATTGCCGGAACCGGGGCCAGAGGTGCCCCAGAGTGCATCTGAAATGGAATTTCACTGAGGCTGGAGAGAGCTCTGCCTGCATGTGACCTTCATGAGCTGCTTGGTTTCTCTGAATGTTGATGTTCTTCCTGGTCTAAGGCTGGTGATGAGAATGTCTACCTGTTAATCAAATGAATCAGATCCATAAAGCCCCCTAAAAAGGCAGGCTTTGTCTTTAGCATTCATACTGTCCGTAAACAAGCTTTGCAAATGCGTGGATTGCAGTCCTGAGGGGCTTTTTCAGTGAGAGTTCGTGCTAATGACTTTCTAATTAAGTGTCTCCGAGAGCCACTGAGATGTGTTTTTCCACTCGAACAGGTGTGTGGTCTGGACGGGCGATGACCGAGTTTTCTTCTTCAACCCAACGATGCACCTGTCTGTCTGGGAGAAGCCCATGGACCTGAAGGACCGCGGAGACCTCAACAGGATCATTGAGGACCCGCCCCACAAACGCAAGCTGGAGGCACCAGCAAGTAACTAAGCACTGGGTTATTTACATCTCCTTTGAAGTGTTTAAGCTGCTTACTTCTAATGAATGTAAAGTGAAAGCATGTTTCTTCTTGGTTATGTTGAAAATTGACTATTAAGGAATCCTGTGCACGACTGCAGAGTTTAGTAATCAAGTTTTTATGGCACTTCCTGCAGATACCTTGATCCTTCCAAGCGGTCGGCTCTGACTGTCTTTTTGCATCACGTAAGGTGATTAATGCAGAGAGAGCCATTCATTCCATCAGCCCCTCAAAGCTTCCATCCAGCATCACTGTTACCCAGCATTTTATTCTTGTTCCAAATATCTTATGAACGCCCCTTGAGAGACCAGATGTACACAGATGGGAGTGTATTTTCTTCCACCTTACATTCACTTTAGACCTTTGCACCACATCGATCTGCTGTTGTGTTTGGATGGATGCCTCAATTCGATAAAACCCTGGTCACGGACGGGGGAAGAGATTCTCTTCAGCCGTAGAGGAATGGGGTGCTTGGAGAGGCGGTTGTTTCTGACAATGCCTGTAAATCTTGTTTTGCCAAGAAACAGAGAGGAACTTTTAGCATTTTCACAAAGGATCTTTTCCAATTAGATCTAATACATATTTTATTAGCTGCTGCTCAGGGAAGGCCCTCCTCCCGCAGCATGTGGATTCAAACAGTCTTGACTCCACTGGAGATGTTTGAGAGCAGGAGCTCTCCGCCAGCTTGAGAGGCAGAGACGCCTGGCTGCAAGGCCAGGCTGGTGAAATGGGAGCTTGGTTCTTTGTTTCGGTTTTGTGTGGAATTCTGTTGGGTTCATAGTGGTATTGGGTTCATAGTGGCATTTTTAATTTCACATCATTGAGGGCTAATACTAGATGACGGCAATTCACACTTCGTGTCAAATCCAGAGGTATTTGACTGAAGCTTTAGAAGACAGTATTATAAAAGTTTTATCAGCATTTTTAACCATAGTAAGAGACATGGTGATAATCTTTTAAGATTGAAACGTCTCACGTTTAAAATGTTTACTCCACTTAAAATAGTAACAGCATTCTCCAGAGACTGAATCAGCATGTTGGGAAAAGAAAAATCTCCAAGGTGCATATGGAATTGAATCTGTAAAATGTTGCTGTATTTAGGGACAGTGAAGATTGAATTTGGCGATCGTGTTTCCTTCTTTGATCAGGCCACATTCATTATTAAAAGGGGGCCTTGTACGTCCTGAAAGAGTGCTTTAAAATCATTACAGAAAGCACCCTCTCAAGGTTCCTACTCATGGACCAGAGGATGGTGCACGATTTGGGAAATCATGACACCCTCAGACCCCACGAGAAACACTGAGGCACAGTTTGTCCTAATGATGATTTTATTTGCTTGGCAAAGGCAGATCACGCTGGCAGATTCCTCAGTCCTTTCTTTAGCTTGTGTTCTTGTAGATAATTGGGTGCTGTTTCTTTCTTCCCCAAAAGAATTGGTAGTAAGGAGAAAGAAATGAACTTATTAAAGGCAATGCATAGCTGCTCTCTCATTTCTTTTGTTTGGACAAATCAGGTCAGGTCTGAAAAGAGGTAGGGAGGCGTCTGCAAACGCCCCCACTGGGCCACCTGCTGTCTCAGGGCTCGCCAGGACTGTGGGTAGACGACAGGGGCCTGGATTACCTGGCTCAGAGCTCCATGCTCCGTTTCCTTCTTTTAACAAGAATCTCATGTTACACTCTGAAAAGTAGAGAGTTAAGGTTTAACAACCAGAAATACCTGATTAATTTAGATGTAGCATGTTATGGTATTTTGTCTGATACCCATTTTACTATGGTGGACCTGAGTACTCTACTTAGACAGACATGTGATTACAAAATTACATGTAGTTATAAAACGATTTTTAATCTTACTTCCCTCCTCATATAAAGAGAGGAAGAGATTTGTCTTCAACCAGTCTGTTTTTTTTTTAACCTGAATCTTAAGGATATGCAAATGACTTCGATTCTCGACTTCCGGTTGCCAGGGTAGAATTGATGTTTAAGAGCACAACTTCTAATTCCCTAAAATGCACTCAGAGAGCTTTGCAGCGAAACAATTAGGACAGGAGGTGTTTCTGGAGGGTTAATTAACGATCAGGGAGCAGAGTTGATGGCCTGCAGCCATCAGGAGTGACTGGCATTCTCCCTGGCCCACGTTCATCGCGGCTCGTCCGATATTTAACCCTGATGATGAAAACAAGCTCCGGGGGAGATGGCTCTGGGTGGAGAGTTTTGTTTTTCACATTTTGTTCAACTATCAGTCATTGTCGATGTGAATATATCCATACCTATTTGAAGTCTGAAATGGGACAATTACGCTTTCAGTCGACACCCATTACTTTTCAAGAGGCAAATGAAATAGAAGAACTTTGTAAAATGGCTGCCACATTTCACTGCTCTTAGGTCTCAGGGGCGTGTGTGTGTGAGCGTGTGTGTCTGTGTGTGTGTGTGAGTGTGTCTGTGTGTACGTGTGAGCGTGTGTGTCTGTGTGCGCGTGTGGGCGTGTGTGTCTGTGTGTGTGTGGGCGTGTGTGTCTGTGTGTGCGGGTGAGCGTGTGTGTCTGTGTGTGTGTGTGGGCGTGTGTGTGTGTGTGCACGTGTGAGCGTGTGTGTGTGTGTGTGTGCGTGTGAGCGTGTGTGTCTGTGTGTGCGTGTGGGCATGTGTGTCTGTGTGCGCGGGTGAGCGTGTGTGTCTGCGTGCGCGGGTGAGCGTGTGTGTCTGTGTGTGTGTGAGAGCGTGTGTGTCTGTGTGTGTGTGTGTTCAGTGGGGGTGTGAGACGTGGAAGTTGTGGCTCACAGTGCCGGGCAGCTGTGGGATGCAGGATGCAGCACCGCCAGAAGCGCTGAGACATTCGTCATTCCGCAGATAAGGGAAGAGGCCGCTTTTTCATTCTGTGAGCACTGCTGAAGGATTCGAGCGAAGTCTGGAATTATTTTCTAATTACCTTGCAGAGCATCCAGATTTTTTATCGCTGTAGTAACTGTGCTGTTAGTTGAGAATAAATGCCAGTAGAACTGGAGGAAAATGAGAAGTGCCAGGCTTCACCCTCACCCCCATCCGTTCCATGCCATGCCGTTCTCGGGGATCTTACCGACACTTCAGTTGGGAGGGTGCTGGCTGTTGCTTTCCCACCTGTGCCCACGTTTCACAGGCCTATCAGAGGCGCGGTTCTCTCACTGTCTTCGCCTGCAGCAGCCGAACCCTCTCTTGCTAGAGACGGCAGAAACTCCCCTGCCATCTGGCTGTGCACCTGCAGCCCGGCCACCTTGGCCTGCTCTGCCTGCCCTGGCCACGGGGGCCACCTGTCACTTTACTGGGACATTTGGTGCAGCCTGGTGGGAAGTGTTGGAGGTGGGGCCCTTGGGTTCTTCGTCTGGGGTGGAGGGAGGAGAGGTGGGGGAGAGAGAGGGAATCCAAACCCCGGCCTCTCCTCCTGCCTGGCTGTCTCCTGTTAGTGCCTCCCAGGGGTGGAGGAGGACCGGGAGCCCTGGGGTAAGAAGTGAAGAGGGGCCTTCTCACTGCCTTGGGGAGGGGAGGGACCACCGGGTGGGACCCTGGGTGTGTGCAACCCCCACACTTGGTTCCATTAACTCCCCTCCTCAGTCCCACGCAGCAGATGCCATCAGCATTGGAGACCCCTTGCTGCTGTAACAAATGACCACCACGGGGCCAAAAGTCACACAAGGTGATGATCTTACAGTTCTGGAGGCAGACATCAAGCAGAGGCTTCACTGGCATCGGCAGGGCTGTGTCTTTCCAGGAGATTCGGGGGAGATTTCCTTGACTCCTGGCCCCTCATCCATCTTCATGCCTCTCTCCTCTCTCTCTGGCTCTGGCCCTTCTGCCTCCCGCTTCCACTCTGAAGGGTCCCTGTGGTCTGTGGGGCCACCTGGATGATACAAGATGGTCTCCCACCTCAAGGGGAGCTGTTGAGCAACCTCCATCCACTTTTCCTGGCAGCCCAGGGTATGCACACCTTCTAGGATTCAGATGTGGGCATTGGTGGGAGGCGTTAATCTGTGACCCATGCCTGCTTTACAGAAGAGGGAATTTCAAAAAGCAGCTTAGTTAACTTGCCCAGGGTCACACCTCCACTGAGTGGGGAATGGGGATTTGCACCCTGGCGAGTCTGATGCCAGGCCTGAGGGCAGCCTGGCCAGGCCCCCATGAGCCTGTGATGGACACAGGTGACTTTTTGTGCCAGCTCACCAGGCAGCAGCTGCAGCAGCTGTGCACTCAACACTGTCCCGCCCTAGCCTGCAGGCAGATGACGTGAACTTCACTGGACTTAATTGCTCTATAAACACTTTAGACATTTATATTCAAGACCAATGTAAATTGACAATGACATTCATTTCACCAGGTAGGATGTAAAATTGCCCGGTGAGTAAACACAGCTGTGACTCATGAATGGGTCACTTTCCCCAGCGTTGTTTGTCCGAGAAGACAGCGCACACTGGATCTATGACATCCAGGGCCCCAGGTGGCTGGGGCAATTGGGGGGACCCAGGGCTGCTGAAAACACAAATGCCAGAGCCCTGGAGGGTGGTGAGCTAGTGTGGTTCTGTCCATGAGGATCTGGGGAATGTGGGAGGCTCTGCCCACCTAGAACCCACCTGCTCCAGGCTCTCTGGGAGGAATCCTGGCCTTCATATCACGGCACCCTCTGCTGGCCTCCAGGCTCTGAGCCTCCTCTTTGCACAATGAATGAACCAGGTGGCTTGTTTGCTAAGCTCCATTTTAGTGCCCACTTTGTTTAGTCTCTGTAACATGATGCCAAGATGAAGCAGATGAGCTGCGACAGGTGTCTCTTCCTTGCAGAATCCCGAGTTGACCGTGCAGGAAGTTGAGTGTGAGGGTGGAGCTCGCAGGGCAGCCGGTGCAAGGGAAGGAGTGAGCTGGGGGAGTCTCTAGGATGCTGTGATCACACTCACCCCTCAGCTTGCTGTGTTTGGCGTCAGCCAGGAGGCCAGGTGGGCAGGGCAG